AGGGCGACGGCACTCACTCGGGCCACGACACTCACTAGGGCGACGACCCCCACTAGGGCCGCGGCACTCACTCGGGCCACGGGCGCTGATGGAATTAGTGTTCTAAAACCGATTGGATGGTTGCCACCGTTCGAGTAGTCGAACGAAAAATCGAAGCCACCAATTCAAATCTCCAGCATGAATTTTCAGGCCGGGCGATCTTTATGTCGCTAGCAGGCACAGGTTTTGGAAGGATGAAATGATGGATTTTAGCAACTTACTGTGAAGAGCTATATGGGCATTGCTAAGAGAGAAACTATGATCTGGCGCTATCGTAAAAGTATACATGTTTGGTGGATTTGCCATGCTAGAAAGATCTTTGGTAGCAATCGCCTCATTCGCTTCTGGCTGGCCAACTTGCTAAGGTGGAAAAGGATGAATATCGTGACTGGGGGCGGGGCACACAGGAATAACGGTGTTAAGCCTTACATCTCTCTTGTGGCTATCAGGGTCTTGATCTGTTCATATCCGTTCCAGGCAGCTGCAGCTAGGGTGTCCAGTCGCTAGACCTCCCACCATTTCAATGAAGAACACTTAAGCAAATCGCTGCCTGTGAATCGATTCTGATGATTTGAGTCGCTATTTTTAACCTCCGTTAATCTTTCCCCCTCCAGAAGATTTTAACTTCGTTCAGAATCACAAAAAGCCCCGTTTAGAGTACATAATTAGGGGAGCCGCAAGATAACGAGCGAAAGCAAGCAGTCAGTCAGCAACGCTGAACCTGCTGAACCCAAGATAACAAACTCTCTCTTCAGCGTAGTCCATTACCCCAAATTAGCGGAGAGGGCCTTGCAGAGAGGGAGAAATTAGTTGCCCAACTTTTTCCCACCTTAAGGTGGGAGTCCAGAAAGTGGGCGATGGCTTTAACCCCGAAGGAGTGGAACCAATGAGTCAGTCACTAGTGAAGGCACATGTGGGCCGTTCTTGCGGTTCAAGTGTTCAACCAATATTTTATTTCGAGACTTGCGCTTTTTTGAGCAGCGTCAAGACCGTCCCAGCTCTACCTGTGATTGATGAACCCATTGCTTCCAACAGATGTTGAACACATTTGATGACAGAAGTAGTTCTTTATCAACCCCGCTTTTTGCTTGAATGGCATTCTGAGGCTTCAAGAGAAACGCCCCTTTTTTGCCCTTTTTCTTTTCTCTCAAACGCTCGACTTCTCTGAAATCTGTTGTGTTGAAGACACTGGAACCACAAGAATGAACCGCAAGAACACTCACATGGTCGCCTAGAGCTAAGTTTAACTAACTTAATCACCATGACTCACAACGGGTGACTCATTGGTCCCACCCCTGTCAGGGTCAAAGCTATCGCCCACTTTCCGAGAGACTTC